AGCTCCTTTTTCATGGTAGAATAGTTGCTTTGAGCATTTTCTAGTGTCCTTAATGCATAGTAGATCACATGTGAGCTTTTTCCATTCTTTTGACCTAAAAGGATGCCTATAACATAGTTGATTGCATCACACATGATCTCAAAAGGGAGATCCCAATTTGGTGCTTGTATGATGGGGGCGGATGTGAGAAACACTTTCAGCTTGTCAAAAGCCACTTCGCATTCCTCATTGAACTCGAAATCAACTTCATTTTGCAAGAGTTGGAACATTGGTCATTTTATCTTTGTAAATTCATTGATGAACCTTCGGTAGAAACCTGCATGACTTAAAAAAGAACGAACTTCCCAAACACATGTCATGTAAGGTAAGCTTTTAATAAAGTGACATTTTTTAAAATTTTATCTACCTCAATTCCTTTCTTTGAAACAATGTGGCCTAGAATGAGACCTTGACTCATCATAAAGTGACATTTTTTAAAATTTAAAACCAAATTTTTTTCAATGTATATTTTCAAAATCTTTGTGAGGTTGATCAAACACTCTTGAAAAGAGTTTCCGTATAACGTAAAATCATCCATAAAAAATTTAATTATGTTTTCGACATATTCTGAGAAAATGCTAACCATACAACATTGGAAAGTAGCCAGGGCATTACACAATCCAAATAGCATTGTCCGGTATGCAAAAGTGCCAAATGGACATGTAAAGTTTGTATTTTCTTGGAATTTCGGTGCCACCGGGATTTGGTGAAAACAGGAATACCCGTCTAGACAACAAGAATGAGATTTTCCGGCCAACATTCTAACATTTGATCAATGGAAGTTAATGGTAAATGGTCTTTTCTCATGCTTTTATTAAGCTTTCGGTAGTCAATACATACTCTCCACCCGTTTTGCACATAGATGAGGACCTTAATACCTTTGTTGTTCCCAACCACTGTGATTCTCATCTTCTTTGGTACCACTTGCACCGGGCTCACCCACTTGCTATCTGAGAGTAGATAGATCATCCCCACATCAAGAATCTTCTTGATCTCTTTCTTCACAACTTCCATCATCGATGGATTCATTCTTCTTTTTGCATCCCAACTTTTCTTGCACTCATTCTCCAACAAAATTTTATGCATACAAGTGGACGGACTCAATCCTTTGATATCCACAATCATCTAACCAATAGCTTCTTTGTGTTCCTTCAACACCTTGAGAAGTTGCTCTTCTTCAAACTCAGTTAGGTGACTAGATATGATAACCGAAAAAGTTTCATTCTTTCCCATATATACATACTTCAAGTGTTGAGGTAAGCCTTTCAATTTTGGTGGTTAAACAATAGAAGGTGGTAACTTTGTGTGAGTTAGAGGCAACTCAACTTTCTTGACATCAACCCTTCTGGATTTCTTCACCTCCAAATTATTTACCAACCATTCGACATTCGGATCCAAAGAATACAATACCAACTTCTTGGAAAGCTTTTCACAATCAAACCCTTTGCTCAAGATCATCTCTAGCATGTCACCATTTGTTAACTCAAACAATACTTGGGTTAGTCGTTCAACAACATCAATAAAATACAAAGATGGTACATTACTAGGATATCTCATAGCATCATAAATATTAAAGTTTATTGTTTCACCATCAAATTTCATAGTTAAATTACCTGCATGCACATCAATTTTCAACTTATCCGTTTTCAAAAACGGTATTCCAAGCAAGATTAGATCTGATTTAGAGGAAACTTGTTCCTCTAAATCAATCAAATAGAAATTTTCAGGGTCGACCAATTGATTCACTTGCACCAAAACATCTTCTAAGACACCCCTAGGAAAAACACTTGATTTATCCGCAAGTGAATTTATGACACCCGTTTCTTTTAAAGGACCAACATTTAGCAATTCGTATACCAAATAGGGAATGACAATAATAGAAGCACCAGGATCAAGCATGGGACTACTAAAAGTAACATCCACTATTTTGCAAGTAATCATAAACATTCTGGGGTCTTTAAATTTAAGTGGGAGTTTTCTTTGTAAAAACGCGGATGCATTTTCATTCATTGAAATCTTTTCCTTCCTTTTCAATTTTCATTTATTTGTGAAATGCTCTTTAAATTTTTTGCATATCTAGAAATTTTCTCGATTGAATCAATCAAAGGAATGTTTACCTCCACCTTTCTAAAGGTGTCCAATATTTCTTTCTCTTTTCTCATTCTTCTTTGAAGTTGCAAGTCGAGATGGAAATGGTTGTTGAGTGGCTATTGGAGTGACTAGAGGGGTAGTCATCTTTGGAGCACCGGGTTGTGCATCATTCTTGACAACATGATCTTTAATGGGAGTGACCTCTATTTCTTCATCATATTACCTTGACTTCTTCTTTGAGCTACTCTATCTGGTTTGTTTACCACTTCTCAAGGCCACCACAATGACATGTGGGTTCTTTTCGGTTTGAGAAGGTAATTTTCCACGGAATCAAACTAGCTCAAGGATCTAACTATGTCACCGATTTGTGCTTCAAGGTTGGAGATACTAGTTCTTGTCACTTTTTGGAATTGTTGGATGCTAGTGGCAAGAGACTTGACAATATATTCAACAGACATTCCATAGCTAATAGGTTGGGATTGAGGAGGTTGTTGGTGATGACGTGAAGGGTGTGGTTTGGATTGATAATGAGTTTGTGGATGATGGTAATAGGGTTTTTGTGGTGGGCAGGAAGGTCTAACCAATGCATTTTGAGGCAATGGTCTTGGTTTGTAACTCATATTGGGATTACGTTTCTAACTTGAATTGTAAACATTTTCATAACTGGATGGCTTGTTGTGGTAGCTTTGAAATTCTACTGTGACATTTACATGTTACACATATTCTTAAAGAATAGGACACATATTTGTGGGATGTCCCATTGTTGCATAAATTCCACATACCATCACTTGTGGAGTACCTCCCATGGCTAACTTTTGAACAATGGATGTCAAATCTTTAAGTTGTGCCTCTAAGCTTGATGTCACCACTTCATTGACCTTGTGATGTGTGTCTTGAAGGATTGTATTGATGGGATACACTCAAGTATAAATAATAAATAACAAGCAATAAACAAAGAACAAAGAACAAGATTAATCACAAAGATGCTTTCACTAAGAAATAATGTTTTCACCCTAATGTTGATTACCAATCTATTCTAGTGAATCCCTTCAATCAAGAGATTGTATCTAATCTAAATATAAACTAATCTATGTAAATGTCTGATCTTAATCACTAAGATTACGGATCAGACTTCTATTATATA